TTTTATCCAAAATTAAAGCAGAACTATAGACCAGATGTTTTTTTTTTCTTAAAGTGTGCTTGGGGCATGCTAGATCAGTATTATGTCCATTTAGTATGCCTTAAATGTCTGCAGCTTGATGAATCAAGGCCTTTATTACTATAAATCGCCTCTAAATGTTTACATAGGCGATCATCCTACTTCTGGCTCTGTAATGCGCTGGACGTCTACTGCCCCGTGCAGTGGGAATATGGACGGCTGAATTTGCACTATACTGTCGTGTCCAAAAGAAAGATTATCAAACTGGTGGAAACCGGAGCCGTCAGGTAGGTGAGACATGACATATAAGGGACTTTGCCTTCCTTATAGAAGACCAATAAGCCCCTGAAATTCCTCTCCTGATGTAGGGATTGGGATGACCCCCGTCTTTTCACACTGACCGCTCTGAGACGAAGAGGATTCCCTCCTGAAGCCATCAACAACTTCTGTGCAAGGGTATGGACTGCTGTTTGCTGCCATAATGGTTTGTTATGTGAACAGTGGTAGGTAATTGTGTGTATCGGTTTGATTTAACCACTTGCCGTCCGCCTGCTGTTTATAAATGACAGGGCGGTGGCAGTCCAGGGGCGGGTTGCCATTCATAAACGGCACCCGCCTTTTCTAGCAGTGCGCGCTCCTTGGGAGCGCGCAGCACTGCGATCCGGTGCCCGCTGTGTCCTCCGGACACAGTGAGACACCGGTCGTCGGACGGGACCTCTGTACAAGGTCCCGATCATGTGATAACTGATAGGCCAATCAGTGATCACATGCAAAGTAGTAAGCAAGATGTCACTTGTGACATCATTGCTTACTATGTGTGAAATCTGTGAATGATCACACAGGTCACATGGTACAAGGCTATTCACAACAGCCTTGTACCATGTGACAAGGTGTGACCAATCACAGCTCACTCAGTATTTCTCAATGGCTGCAAGAATGCAGACAGAGAGAAATGATTGCTTTTACATCCTATATGGGTGTAAAAGCAATCACTGTAAAAAAAAAAAAAAAAAAAATCTTCATCACCCCCCCACAAGTAGTACAGTGTCACCATGGTGACACTGTACTGCTAGGGTGACAGTATGTAAAAACAAAAAGCATAAATAATAATTTAAAAAAATAAAATAAAAATGTAAAAAAAAATGTTTAAAAATTATAATTTTTGGTTATAAACTAATTTGGCTTATTTTTTTTTTTTTACTAAAAATATAATGGAATAATTTTTGGTCAAGATTTATGATGAAAGAATATTTGCTAAATTTTATAAGAAAAACACTTTTTTTAAAACATTTTTGGACATTTTCATTTACTTAGCAAAAAAAATAAAAATCCCAGCGGTGAATAAATACCACCAAAATAAAGCTTTATCGGTCTCAAAAAAAATGGTAAAAAATTCATATGGATACAGTGTTGCATGACCGTGCAATTGTCATTCAAAGTGTGATGGTGCTGAAAGCTGAAAATTGCCCTGGACAGGAAGGGGGTAAAAGTGTCCGAACAGGAAGTGGTTAAGGGATTTTTAGCAATTTATTTGAACAATACTTTGGGCTGCCATTTGTAATACGTTTCCAAAAGCACTTGTGTTACCTGCTGATGAAAAGGCAGACGCATTGTACGGTGGAATATGGAGTACACACCACTGCTCACAAAGTTGGCAGAAAGTTAGACTTGCATATAATGGCTATCCAGGCACTCGGGAACAGTTTTTATAATGTAATAATGAATAATGGTACCATTAAAGAGCACCAGTTGCAGATGGAATTTACCAAACAACCTGCCTTTGTAAGTAAGGGGTACCTATAGATAGAAACAAACTGCGCAGCTTTGACCAAAACTGAATAATTCCCTTGCTATAGGTGTAAGCGATTTATATACCTCCTGAAGTCTGACTGAAAAACTCCCAGTGATCACATTATCCCAGTGGTAGGCAACTGCGGCCCTCCAGCTGTCATGGAACTACATGTCCCATGAGGCATTGAGAGGCTGACAGTTGCATCATAACTCACAGAGGCATGATGGGACTTGTAGTTCCACAACAGCTGGAGGGCCACAGTTTGCCCACCCCTGCATTATCCCATCCTGCCTTGTTGCTCGGTTGTTGATAGAGATTAACTTTTACTGTTCACCCCTATCCAGGGGTGTATCTGTCGCGAGTCAAACAAGGAGTTTGCCTTGGGTGGCATTTTACAGGGGCGCGGCGTCAGGGGGGCCAACACAAGTAGGGCCACCTGGCCCAGGGTACCAGTTGTAAAGGAGGGTGCAGTGATGGATCCCCGGTGTGTGCAGGCAGCGCTTGAGGGCCACGGCCTGTTTGGTGTATGCCGGTCTGTGCGGGGAAGGTGAGGTGCCAGCGGAGGGCCTGTGGAAGAGGAGCACACGGTCAAGAAGGAGGTGCTCTCCCCACTTTTTGTTGCAGCTGCCACCGGAGATCCTGATGAAGATGGAACACAGGCTCAGCTACTGCTCCTGGAGTGATACTGACACCATCTGGAAGAGCCGCTGCTGGACAGGTAAGAGCTTGGAGGACTGGTGCTTCCCCACTTCTGTCACGCTGCCCCCCCCCCCCACCTGTCACGCTGCCCCCCCCCCACCTGTCATGCTGCCCCCCCACCTGTCCAACTGCCCTCCTCAAATTTAGAATGGGGGGGCGATTTTAGGCTTGCCTAGGGCAGCACAAACCACAATACACCACTGCCCCCATCATCACAGGCGATACATTCTAAGCTCAGAGCTACTGCGTCAGGGGAGAGAGTGTGCATGTGAGGGGGTTTGAATCGGAGAAAGAGATCACTCTTGTGACGGTGGGGGTGAACAGTAAGAGCTACAGTCTTTTAGCAACATCCCAGCAAAAAGGCAGGACGGGTTGATGTGATCTCTGGGAGTTTTTCGGTCTTCAGGAAATAAATGAATAGCCAACAGCTGTCACAATGAATCAGAATTTCCCAGGAATGTTTCTGAAAAGTGGAATCCATGACACAAAGAATTGAGGTTACTTTAAGAACAAAGGAAGGCCCAACCTGGTATTGGCATAGTGATCACTGAGTGTAGGCGAACAGCGGGTGGGGGAGTAGCCAGGAGCGCCGGCAGGGGACACGTGAAGAGCAGGATCGGAGCTGCTCTGTGCAAACCATTGCACAGAGCAGGTAAGTATGACGTGTCTCAGCTTGAGTGAAGATTCTCGACTCCTTAATTATTTGTATCGACAGGGTTTTGTTCACATCATTCAGGTTTGGCATTCTCATACAAGTCTATGGTAATGCAAAGCCCCGCTTGAAGCAGGTCAGAAGGAAGTCAAATGCGCCTGAATTCTGAATTATCTTAGAAGAATTTTAAACTGATTCTATTGACGTAAGCCCAAAGGCTGTCAAAACAAGGCCTTAGCAAATTAGCCTAAGCCGGAGAAATAATTAAGCTTCCCAAGCCATTAAAATGGCGCAGGAAAACTGCCCAGAGTGGCATACGCCACATTGAACTGGTGGTGCACCAGATGAAATGGGTTTTATCTGCTAAGTTAGAGTGAAATAGAAAGTAGCACAGGTCTGCCCCTAAATAACAGAGGGAATGTGGCAGTTTTCCATAAAACTGCTGAAAAATTCCTGCAAGGTTTGACCTTGTCATACAGGATGTGAGCAGTCAGACAGCTCACATCCCTCTCTCTGCTTGTCCAGTGAATTCACTACACGAGCAGAGCCTGCAGAGTAAAAGCCCTTTTCCTTCCTCCAGCTCTGAGCTGACCTGAAGGCCAGGATGGGCAGAAATCTTGGATCATACAACTCCAGCTGTCTGTTCCCTGTGCTGTCTGTCAGACACGACAGAACAGAGAATTGATCACCCCTAATTAACAAGGGGGCTTACTCCCATTTTGTTAGCAGCAACATGTGCTCTTTTTTAGGTTTAGAAGAGTGGTGCAAGCTTGTGCTTGTGCCACTCTTTAAAGTATAACTAAATGCAATTTTTTTTCTTTTTAGTTTAGGATAGTGGAGGGGGATTAGAGCACCTGTCAGTTTGTATTGCTGTCTGTGCCCCCGTTAGGGAGATCGTTCTTCTCTGTTTGTCTTGTTTACCATTATCAGTGAAAGTAAAATAAAATACCAAATTTTGGGTTGTCCCTAGAAAAGTAAGAGAGGAAATCTTTCATTGGGGACACCAGTTTTATTTATTTATTTCAGGTACTTGTATAGCGCCATCAATTTACGCAGCGCCTTACATATATATTGTACATTCATATCAGTCCCTAACCTTCAAGGGGTGTACAATCTTAGGGCCCTAACTGACATTCATACATACACAGACTAGGGCCAATTCACCTACCAGCATGTCTTTGGAGTGTGGAAACCGGAGTACCCAGAGGAAACCGACGCAGGCACAGGGAGAACATTTCTGATGACTTGGGGGTTCCCAATGAATTCTTTTAATTCGCTAGGATTTCCTCACACTTCCTGTTTTGGCTGTGGGACAGGAAGTAAGGGGAAATCTCCACAATGGGACACAGATGGCAAAAGATAAACTGACTGGGGTTATGACCTTCCCTTACTCTATCCAAAATTAAAAAAAATAATTTTTGCCTATAGTTCTACTTTAATTCCCTCCAATGTGTCTAAATTGCAGAGCTCTCTAACATACTGCACTTTAGCAACAATTTCCAGGTGAATCTGTTGCTCGCGGGCCTTCGTTGCATTTCGTATTACTTTTTACAGCTATTAAAGTTGCTTTGTTTGTGAAGCTTCAAAATATTTCTGAAAGTTCCATTCTTGTTGCCGTCATAGTACTGTTTGTTCGCACAGCAGACCATTTTTTATCCTGGGGCAGAATATGTAAGCTAGGCTGAATAATCCATAAGCAAGCCAGCAGCAGAGCAGATTGTGTTTAATAGCTTCAATTTTAAGGTTTATTTTACGCATTCTCATTTTTCAAGCCGCTTCCAAATCTTTCCTCACTGAATTGTTTTCTGCTAGGTTGGCGTGACTGTTGCTCAGACAACGATGGAGCCACATTTACTAGAGGCCTGTGTCAGAGAGGTGCTGAACGACACGGCCCCCCGGGTAATGGCTGTGTTGGAGCCTCTGAAAGTCACAATTACTAACTTCCCAGCAGAGAAGGTAAGCTCTCAGTAGGCTGAATACAGAGATTCATTAGAAAGGATTTGAATTCCTATAAAGCCAATCCATTTCTTTTTCCCCAAAAGGCTTTTAAGGTCTCCGTTCCAAACTTCCCAGCTGATGAGTCTAAGGGTTTCCACATGGTTCCTTTCTCTTCGACTGTGTACATTGAACAGACAGATTTCAGAGAGGTAAGAGATTCTGGACCTTTATCCAGTATGATTCATTAACTTTAAAGTGATGGTAAAGGTACAAATCAGGAGCGGACTGACCATTTGGAAACTTGGCACTGCCCGAGGGCCCGGGGTCAGTAAGGGGCCCCATGAGATGCCCCTGGTACCTTTTTCATAGGCTTTTTTGAGTTTGGGCAAGGACACAGGGGCCCCATGATTCCCTATTGCCCGGGGGCCCCATGAGTTGTCAGTCCGCCCTAGTACAAATATATTTTTTTTAAATACCAAACATGTTATACTTCTCTGCAATGGTTTTGCCCCTATCCTCTTCTGGGGTCCTCCACTGGTGGCTCTCTTTCCTCAACCCCCCTTACTGAGTTCCCCCCAGCAAGCCGCTTGCTATGAAGGCACTCATGCAGGCTTGATCCCGAGCCGCGCTCTGTGTAGCTTGGCCCCGCCTCCTCTCACTGTCTGTGATTGACAACAGCAGGTGCCAATGTCTCCCGCTGTTGTCTCTGAGCCCGTGAGGAGATAGCGATGCTGCTCATGGGCACATCGCTGGATCAAGATCGAGCTCCGGTAAGTACAGTTGCAAGAAAAAGTATGTGAACCCCTTGGGATTACGTGGAGTTTTGCATGAATTGGGCATAAAATGTGCTCTGAACGTCATCTAAGTCACAACAATAGAAGAACACAGTCTGCTGAACATAATACTACACAAACATTAGATGTTGCCACGGTTTAATTGCACATAACATGTAAACATTCACAGTGCAGGGAGGAAAAAGTATGTGAGGCCCTAGCTTAATGACTTCTCCCAGAGCTAATTGGAGCCAGGAGTGAGCCAACCTTGACTCCAATCAGTGTGATGATATTGGATGTGTTGCTGACAGCTGTCCTGCTCTTAAAAAAACACACCTGTTTTGGGTTTACTGGTTTCAAGAAGCACTGTCTGATGTGAACCATGCCTCGCAGAAAAGAGCTCTCAGAAGACCTACGATCAAGAATTGTTGACTTGCATGAAGCTGGAAAGGGTTACAAAAGTATCTCCAAAAGCCTTGATGTTCATGTGTCCACGGTAAGACAGACTGTCTACAAATGGAGAAAGTTTAGCACTGTTGCTACTCTCCCTAGGCGTGGTCGTCCTGTAAAAATGACTGCAAGAGCACAGCGCAGAATGCTGCATGAGGTAAAGAAGAATCCCAGAGTGTCAGCTAAAGACCTACAGAAATCTCTGGCACATGCTAACATTTTTGTTGACACATCTACAATCAGGAAAACATTAAACCAGAATGGAGTACATGGGAGGACACCACGGAGGAAGCCATTGCTGTCCAAAAAGAAGATTGCAGCACGTTTGAAGTTTGCAAAAGAGCACCTGGATGTTCCACAGCACTACTGGCAGAATATCCTGTGGACAGATGAAACCAAGATTGAGTTGTTTGGGAAGAACACACAACACTATGTGTGGAGAAAAAAAGGCACAGCACACCAACATCAAAACCTCATACCCACTGTAAAACATGGCGGAGGGAGCATCATGGTTTGGGGCTGCTTTGCTGCCTCAGGGCCTGGACGGATTGTTGTCATTGATGGGAAAATGAATTCCAGAGTTTATCAAGACATTTTGCAGGAAAACATACGACCATCTGTCCGCCAACTGAAGCTCCGCAGAGGATGGGTGATGCAACAGGACAATGACCCAAAGTGTACAAGTAATTCAACAAAACAATGGCTGCAACAGCACAGAATACGCCTTCTGGAGTGGCCCAGTCAGAGTCCTGACCTCAACCCGATTGAAATGCTGTGGCATGACCTTAAGAGAGCGATTCACATCAGACATCCCAAGAATATTGCTACACTGAAACAGTTTTGTGAAGAGGAGTGGTCCAAAATGACTCCAGATCATTGTGCAGGTCTGATCTGCAACTACAGGAAATGTTTGGTTGAGGTTATTGCTGCCAAAGGAGGGTCAACCAGTTATTAAGTCCAAAGGTTCACATACTTTTTCCTCCCTGCACTGTGAATGTGTACATGTTATGTGCAATTAAACCATGGCAACATCTAATGTTTGTGTAGTATTATGTTCAGCAGACTGTGTTCTGCTATTGTTGTGATTCAGATGACGTTCAGAGCACATTTTATGCCCAATTCACGCAAAACTCCACATAATCCTAAGGGGTTCACATACTTTTTCTTGCAACTGTATATGGGGTGGGCAGCTGCACACAGTAGGGTTTTTTTTTTACCTTAATGCCTAGCGTACGTTAAGGTAAAAACTTACTGCATTTGGAACCACTTTAAAGTGTATCGCAGTGGAGGTACAAAAATGTAATATATTGCAACTTATTAGTCCTTAGATCTCAGTATTTTTAGAAAAGCGCCACACCCTAAATTTCAAAAGCAGCAAATTCCCACTTCAAAAAATCATAAATTACTTTTTTGCTCAAACAAATAAATATAAGGAATGCGCTAAAATAAATAAATACAAAATGAATATGAAAAATAAAAAATAAAAAAAATCATAAAAAATGTTCATCAATAAATATAGATTTATGAACATTTTTTATGATTTTTTATAAAAAAATTTTTCATATTCATTTTGTATTATTTAGCGCATTCCTTATATTTATTTATTAGTCCTTTTAGATTTTTTTTTTTTTTTTTTCATGCTTTTTCCTTTTATTTTTCACCTGGTAATCCTGCCAGTAACATTAATGGTGTGATCCTCCTGCGCTCCTAACTAAATTACCTCCTAACCTTTGGGAGGTGCTAACACCTAATCATATACCATGTGACAAGTGTAAATCATAAATGCATTGGTGCAGCGCTGACGAGATAATAAAAATAAAACTGTAAGCTATAAACAGGTAAACCATACATGTGAAAATAAATGTGAACTTTATCCTCGGGATCTTAATAGTGAAATATATTATTAACCAATGAATTCAACCAAGACCAAACGGGACTATAAACAAGTGTACTGATCCACTAGGGATCCCAGGTGATATCAATAAGTGGTGTAATCAACCAGGTCCAAAAAAAGAACTAAAAGTGTGTAGCATGAACTGATCCACTCAGGGATCCAATGTGATATTCAAAAAGAAAAAAACAAAAAAAAAAAAATAAATTTTTTTTTTTTTTGACTTTTTGAATATCACATTGGATCCCTGAGTGGATCTGTTCACGCTACACACATTATTTTAGTTTTTTTTTTTTTTTTTTTTTTTTTTTTTTTTGGTTGATTACACCTTGACCTGGTTGATTACACCATTAACATACTTCCTGTCCTAGGATGACACTCACTATATTGTATCTATGTTAGAGCAGCATTGTCACCCTAGGGCAGGAAGTGTTAGGACTACAGGACACCTCCCCCCTTATTTGCCTGTCACAGGGGGTGGTTGTAGCCCACAGACAGAACATTCTATAATGTTAACTGGTGCTGCCAAGACCTTATGTTTATATGTAGCCCTTGACCTTTCCAAGCTTCCTTTGGTCAAGTTTGTCTGTGGAGATTCAGTTGGGATGGGTTTACTATGCTTGTTTGTGTGTTTGGATCACTGGTAACAATTCGTTGGCAAGCAGGATAACTGATGTTAACAAGCAAACTGCAAATGTATTCTGGAGATCTGAGTGAATGTATGTTTTCCTTGTAGGTGATGGAGAAGGGATACAAGCGCCTTACCCCTAATCAGCCAGTGGGCCTCCGACATGCCGGTTATGTCATTTCCATACAGAACGTTGTGAAGGTGAATGTTATGAGCATGTACTGGGTTTCCTCTTTTGGCCAAAGCACTGTCCACCATCTGGTGTTGGGTAAATTGGAGGACATACAAATGTGAATTCCTCTTGACAAAATCAGAGTTTCAGGCCCAATGTCTACATTCTGTACGCCCAGATATTTTTTGTCTTTGTGCTGTGCTAACCCCCTGCTGTTAGGTCTTTCATTGTCCCCTGAAATGCTCAGCGTATTGCATGTTGGGAAGTAGTGAGCTTCACTTTTAGGGGCTTCAGCACTAACTAAAAATGAACATACAATATGCACTTGTGATTGTGGAACCATCAGCTGTACAGAACTTGCAAGTACTTGCAGACATATTTGTTACTTATAGTTAAGGTGTCATTCTTTTTTGACTATATTAAAACAAACCAGACATAAAATTTGCTCGGTTTTGATCTGTTGCAGGTGTCAGTAGATTCCTAATGACACCCCCAAACAGATTGCAAATGCAGTGTGTTTGCAGTCACCAGATTGCATGGTAACGTAGTACCATGTGACCCAGTTTCAGTGCATTTTTAACCACCTCCCGTCCAGTCTTTGTATATAAACAGTCTCCCTGTCCCCTGCTTGTGCACGCTCGCTGGGAGTGCGCAGCACCGTGATCCGGTGCCCGCTGTGTCTGCCGGATACAGTGGAACACCGATGATCGTACAGGACCTCTCTGCGAGGTCCCGATCATGTGATCACTGATTGGCCAATCAGTGATCACATGCAGTGTAGTAAGCAAGATGTCAGTTCTGACATCATTGCTTACTACGTGTGAAATCTGTGAATGATCACAGAGGTCACATGGTACAAGGCTATTCACAACAGCCTTGTACCATGTGAGAAGCTGTGACGAATCACAGCTCACACAGTAGTTCTCAATGACTTCAAGAATGCAGCCAGAGAGGAGAAATGATTGCTTTTACAGCCTTTATGGGTGTAAAAGCAATCAGTGTAAATAAAAAAAAAAAAATCTTCATCACCCCCCACAAGTAGTACAGTGTCACTATGGTGACACTGTACTGCTAGGGTGACGGTATGTTAAAAATAAAACAAATATAAAAAATAAAAAAAATTGTAAACATTTTTGAAAAATTATCATTTTTAGTTATAAACTAATTTAGGTTATTTTTTGTTTACTAAAGATAACTGAATACATTTTGGCCAAGATTTATGAAGAAAGATTTATTTGCAAAATTTTATAAGAAAAACACTTTTTTATTCAAAATGTTTGGACTTTTTTATTTATATAGCAAAAAAAATAAAAAAATCCCAGTGGTGAATAAATACCACCAAAATAAAGCTTTATCTATCTAAAAAAATGCTAAATAATTCATATGGGTACAGTGTTGCATGACCGCACAATCAGTGTAAATAAAAAAAAAAAGTCTTCATCACCCCCCACAAGTAGTACAGTGTCACCATGGTGACACTGTACTGCTAGGGTGACAGTATGTAAAAAAAAAAAAAAAACCATAAATAATATAAAAAAAATAAAAATGTAAAATAAAATGTTTAAAAATTATAATTTTTGGTTATAAACTAATTTCGGTTTTTGTTTTTTTTTTGTTTGTTTTTTTTACTAAGATAATGGAATAAATTTTGGCCAAGATTTATGATGAAATATTATTTGAAAAATTTTATAAGAGAAACACTTTTTTTTCCAAATTTTTGGACTTTTTCATTTACATAGCAAAAAAAAAAAAAAATCCCAGTGGTGAATAAATACCACCAAAATAAAGCTTTATCTATCTAAAAAAAATGCTAAATAATTCATATGGGTACAGTGTTGCATGACCGTGCAATTGTCAATCAAAATGTGAAAGCACTGAAAGCTGAAAATTGGCCTGGACAGGAAGGGGGTAAAGTGCCCGGACTTGAAGTGGTTAAAAGTAGTGCATGTACTACTTTTGGTGCAATCCAGCATTATGTCAGTCCAATAAAATCAAAGGGCTGAAAATCGCATTACGCTGATTGCACAGGAATGCAGAACAGTTTCCCTTAGTCAAGATGACCGAGAAAGAAAAATGTCACCAGCACACCAAGGAATCCTCAGAAGGGTCCCGAAGCTTTATTAGTGGTCACATAATATCGTCAGGTGAAGGGGCCCTGCGTGGTAAGGAGGGAAGAAGCGCCTTTAAGTGCAGCAGACCACTTTACTACCATGTGAGTGTTCCTACTTTTTATTATATATTAGAGTAATAAAAGCATGTAGGGTATTGTGGTGTAGAAACACCATGTGGAACGGCTGTCACTGGTGCCTGTATCGTCCGTCTCAGTGGTAGGGAGCGTGGTTCAGGACGGAGACAGATGTGGAGCTGGCCGGCATGCAAGTACTCCTAAAAGATGGTGACTGGAACGCGCGCTGAACCGCAACATCGGTGTAGGCGTGATGTTGTCAGTGAACAAGATGCAATGCGACGCGTTTCAAAGCATGCGCTGGCTCCTTATGGCGGAAGCGCGCTCCTTTCTCAAGCAGGGGCCGTGCGTGGCATAGAAACGTTGCCGCTGTTGATATTATGTGACCACTAAATGAAACTTCGGTCCCTTTTTGTGGTTCCCAACCCATGGTCACTACAGCACCCAAACACTATTTACAGCCACTTGCACGAACATGTGCATTGGTAAGACTACATTTTAGTCAAGGTGACGGCGCCAGCACCCGACAGCCAATTGAAGAATCGGCTCGGGTGAGGACACTGCTGGATCCCCGGGACGGGCAAGTGCCCTAATATTAAAAGTCAGCAGCTACAGTATGTTTTTTTGTTTTTTTTTTTTTGGATGGGGGGTTGGGCTAGAACTCCGCTTTAAAAAGCCCTGGTTCACACCGAATGTGGCTTTAAAATCACGCTACTTGAGCTGTAGTAGCGTGATTTCAAAGCCGCTAGTCAGTGCAATATCTGATATCTGTGCAGCTTGTTGACATGATGTCAATGCAAGTTGCACATGAAATCGCCAAAAATAGTGCAGGAACCTTTTTCAAAATCTGTGCAAGTCAGTGTTGCACCTATTTGATCAGTTCCATAGACACAAATACGGTGCGACTTATGTTCTCTTGTTAAGAGTATAACACACCGTTTTTTATGTTTTTTTTTTTTTTTTAACTAGTGGGTTGAACAAAAAAAGCAAACCTCGCAGATCCCCACATTCACAACAGCGATGTGTGGGATGCCAGGATCTCCCCTGCAGCACTATTGCATTCTGATAGCAAATTTAGTTTGCACCATTGAAACCTCTTGATGGTTTTCTTTGTGGCTATTGGGACAAGAAGCAATGCTACAACAAAGCACTGTAAGATTTCCAAAGTGGAGAAACCATCTGGCTGTCTATTTCATCTCTCGTACACACTAACAAAGCTCCTGATCTTGATTGAGGACCTCCCTCCGGTCCAAAAAGAATTCATTTTTTACTGCCATCCACAGGTACCACATCTGCCCTGGGTTGGGGGGTCACACCTTTTTATTTCGTTGAGCTTTTTCTAAATGCTGTAATATGTCTCTTTTGGCTTGTACAAATTACTGTTGCTGATGACCGTACATTTTCTTAAATAGGTGGTGTTCTTGAATAACAGTAATGAAAGAAAACATTACAATCCACATTTGAGATCACTTCACTGCAAGCCGGCACAAATGGCCTATTGTGTAGTCCTGAATACTCCAGTGATTCAGTGCAAAATTATTACAAACTGACATTCATAAATTTCAATATTTCATGATAAATCATACCGCCCACCCCCCCCCCCCCCCCCCCCCCCCCCCCCCCCCCCCCCCCCCCCCCCCCCCCCCCCCCCCCCCCCCCCCCCCCCCCCCCCCCCCCCCCCCCCCCTCCAAAATAAAAGGGACCAGATATTCATTTGCATAAAATGATAATGTTGTAATCCTTCCGTGAAACCTTCACCATCCCCTATGGGCACTTTCTCACCCCTGTGGTTAGACCCTCGCTACAGAGTATTAAGTTATATTCTGTGTATCCCCAGGCCTTCCTTAAAGCAATCCACTAAGCTGGCCAGAACCAACTCTTGAGGGAGTCTATTCCACATTTTCTCAGCTCTTACTATGAAGAAACCTTTCCAGGTTTGGAGATTAAATTTCTTTTCCACCAGACGTAAGGAGTGCCCCCTTGTCCTCTGTGATGACCTCAGGGTGAATAACTGTATACCGAGTTCACTATATGAACCACTGATGTATTTATACATGGAGATCATATCCCCCCTTATGTATTATTCATGGAGATCATATCCCCCCTTATGTATTATACATGGAGATCATATCCCCCTTATGTATTATACATGGAGATCATATCCCCCCTTATGTACTATACATGGAGATCATATCCCCCCCCTATGTACTATACATGGAGATCATATCCCCCCCTTATGTATTATACATGGAGATCATATCCCCCTTATGTATTATACATGGAAATCATATCCCCTTTATGTATTATACATGGAGATCATATCCCCCCTTATGTATTATACATGGAGATCATATCCCCCCTTATGTATTATACATGGAAATCATATCCCCTTTATGTATTATACATGGAGATCATATCCCCCCTTATGTATTATACATGGAGATCATATCCCCCCTTATGTATTATACATGGAGATCATATCCCCCCTTATGTATTCTACATGGAGATCATATCCCCCCTTATGTATTCTACATGGAGATCATATCCCCCCTTATGTATTCTACATGGAGATCATATCCCCCCCTATGTATTCTACATGGAGATCATATCTCCCCTTATGTATTCTACATGGAGATCATATCCCCCCTTATGTATTCTACATGGAGATCATATCCCCCCTTATGTATTCTACATGGAGATCATATCCCCCCTTATGTATTGTACATGGAGATCATATCCCCCCTTATTGTATTATACATGGAGATCATATCCCCCTTATGTATTATACATGGAGATCATATCCCTCCTTATGTATTATACATGGTGATCATATCCCCCCTTATGTATTATACAGGGTGATCATATCCCCCTTATGTATTATACAGGGTGATCATATCCCCCTTATGTATTATACATGGAGATCATATCCCCCCTTATGTATTATACATGGAGATCATATCCCCCCTTATGTATTATACATGGAGATCATATCCCCCCTTATGTAATATACATGGAGATCATATCCCCCCCTTATGTATTATACATGGAGATCATATCCCCCCCTTATGTATTATACATGGAGATCATATCCCCCCCCTTATGTATTATACATGGAGATCATATCCCCCCCTTATGTATTCTACATGGAGATCATATCCCCCCTTATGTATTGTACATGGAGATCATATCCCCCCTTATGTATTGTACATGGAGATCATATCCCCCCTTATGTATTGTACATGGAGATCATATCCCCCCTTTATGTATTATACATGGAGATCATATCCCCCCTTATGTATTATACATGGTGATCATATCCCCCCTTATGTATTATACATGGTGATCATATCCCCCTTATGTATTATACATGGAGATCATATCCCCCCTTAATCTCCTCTTCTCAAGAGAGAATAAATCCAGTTCCTCTAATCTTTCCTCATAGCTGAGCTCCTCCATGCCTCTTATCAGTTTGGTTGCCCTTCTCTGTATTTTCTCCAGTTCCCCAATGTTCTTTTTGTGAATTGGTGCCCAAAAATAGGCATATACCAGGCAAACAGGCAGAAAGACAAAAGGAAACCGTGTTTCTGTGTAGAACGCTTTTATTATATCACAAATATAGAGGAAATACAGTCACAATAGCTTGCACAACACAATGTACCTTCCTTTAACAGTGATCACTGGACTCCGCCCAACATGTTTCGTCGTCTTGACATCAGGGGCACCCAGTCATCTATCGAAACATCATAAGCAAACTTTGACTTGTACAAAAATGGAGGTTAAAGCTGGTTACTGTATCTAGCAGTCCAGTATTTTGGTGGGACCTGCTGGTAATGTAATAACAGCCCATTTCTCGTCACCGAAAACAGATCTTGGAGGCCCTGAACTCTGAAAGTTGGACCAATAAAAGGCGGACAGAAGACACATGACTAGTCACCGGTTTTGCCTGTGGTCTCTTTTCAGCAGATCCTTACCCTGATCTGTGCTGTCTGTGTGAAGGTGGCCATGTTGGTAGAGACAGGGCTTTGCTTCCCCATATCGGAGCTGCCCCCCTGATGACCAGTGATCTGATGACTAGTGGAAGAATATTCAAGAAGCAGCAGAAGAGATGAAGGAAATTTTATTTCCACAGAATGAGAGACACAGAAGCAGGGAGCTTCCTCTCCAGCAAGGAGAAAGATGGACAGAACTGGAATGACATCACTAATTATCATGAGATTGGCGTCGGCAGTCCTTCTCATGCTGTAGGCACAGGAATACCTTGGCACCCTCACATACCAGGATGTACACTGTTTTTCAGGAAATTCACAAAAGCTAAATCTTTCAGGATGTTCTCTACAAAATAGCAGATCTTCACATTTTGAATTTAGATCCACTTTAACCAACACATATGCACACTGTTTTTATTGCTGAATTCTGGTGTTGATGACAAAGCAGTATGAGTGACAAGTAAACCGTAGGAGGTAAAACTGTTATATATCTCGTAGAGTTTCTCAGAAACCATAAACCGCACCAGGTTGCACCTTTTGGTCTCATAATTTGAAATGGTGACATTACACCTCATTCACCTAGACCTGAGACAATGGATTTCAGTTGCTTCCAATTCCTGATATTGTGCATTTTATAGTTTTATTTATTTATTTATTTATTTATTTTTTTTTTTAAACATTCAATGTCTTTTATCCCCTCTCTGTTGTAGGATGGAAGTGGTAAAGTGGTGGAGTTAGAGGTGACCTGCACCAAATCGGACATGGCTGAGAAGCCAAAAGCTTTCATCCATTGGGTTTCCAACCCCCTGGTGTGTGAAGTACGCCTGTATGATCGCCTGTGAGTACAATTGACACATTGGGGTTTATTTACTAAAGCTGGCGAGTGCGCAGTCAGGCTCACTTCTGCATAGAAATCAATCCGCTTCCAGGTTTTATTGCCAAAGCTTAACTGTACAAACTGATGTTAGAAGTTGATTGGTTGATATGCAGAAGTGAGCCTGATTTTGTACTCTCCAGCTGTAGTAAATAAACCCCCTTGCATCATTATTCTTTACTTCATATAGTTGATCTGCTATATTTTTGGTGGGAAGTAAACACATTTTGGGGGAATTCATCAAAACTGGAGCAGACTGAATCTAGAGCAGCTGTGCATAGTAACCAATCAGCTTCTATCTTCATCGTATTCAGTTAAGCTTTGAAAATGAAATATAGAAGCTGATTGGTTGCCATGCTCTAGATTCTGGCTGTTCCGGTCCTTATAGGTTTCCCTTGTGTGATATGATGGCACAGAAGGCTCCAGTTTAACCAATCAGCCTGGTTTTTGATAATGAGACTACCATGACAGCCAATCATGGTAATCTCTTGCAGGCTGGATGTTTGTCCAAAAACAAGCCTCTTTAGCCTGCAGATGGCAGCATGCCTCTGTGTAAAACTTTAATTGTATGATATAGTCAAAGCATTTCTTAAAAGATTGAAAAACATTTTTGTCTATTTGTCAGCCTATAAGAATAAAAAGCATGTGTAAGATCTTTTTAAAAATGTACCAAGTAAAACCTTCTATCCCCCAAAAAAGTGTGTAAAATGATTTAGGTAGGGAAATTAGTCAGTTATTGTCGCGTTAATACACAGGCTCTGGTAAATTTGGTGTGGACATCTACATACAATTGACCTCTGGTTATGGAAGGGGTAATACTATCAGGTAATGATGCTTTTCAGATTACTGATCAGTTGAGTGTACTTGGCTTTAAAGTGCTGATGACTAGTTAAAGCACTAAAAGATCATAAAGAATAAATCTGGCCATAGATCGAATCTTGGTTGGATCAGAAGGGAAGGGACGAGATTCGATTTTGATGTCACAGATATGTGATACGTTTTTGGGGTTGTATTCCATATGTGCAGAGAGATCACACAAATACTTTATAAGTAGAACATAAAAGTAATGACCAATACAGAAAATATTAGCAAATACAACAAAAATACTTAATTAAAAATGCCGTTTTGCCATACAGTTCCTGCCTGCTTTCCGCAGCACCTCCGACAAGGTCCAGACACATGCCTAATGGCAGTTCTGTTACACCTGTAGTATATAGGTTGTAAGGAATGGCCAGCTTCCCATAGAGCAGTGTTTCTCAACTTCAGTCCTCATGGACCCCCAACAGGTCATGTTTTCAGGATTTCCATTATTTTGCACAGGTGATTTGATCAGTTTCACTGCCTTAGTAATTACCACAGCTGTTTCATCTGAGGGAAATCCTGAAAACATGACCTGTTGGGGGTCCATGAGGACTGGAGTTGAGAAACACTGCCATAGAGCAAGATGGCCTTTTAAAGGAGAAGTTCATCTTTTGAGCAAACCTAATAAATGCAGGTAAAAAAATGTGCATTTATTATTTTTGTCCAAAGGAGCCTGGAAAGCATTGCACCAGAGATCAGTGGATCGCTGATGTTATGTAGGTCTCCTGCAGACCTGTCAGAATATCTGCTTGCCGTACGGGGTGTATGAGCAAGCAGATATTCTGACAGGAAGCTTTAATGAACTACCACGGTGCTCCACAGTGCCATGGTAGTTCATTGAAAACTACAAGCCCACAGCCGCTAAGGCAGTTGTGGCCTTGTAGGCACTCATTTAGAGAACTCTGTGAATGAGTGATGTGGCCTTGTGGGCGGCACCCTGCACGCCCACGCTGTTTTCAAATCTGACAGATAGTACGGGGACACTTCTCCCCGTACTATCTGTCAGAGGGAGGGGGGAAGGTGGGCACAGCTGCAGCTATGGGAACATGTTACACAGGTGAACCTATCTCTTAAGGACCTGGTCAGTTTGTAATGGCATTCCTTTAGCATGAAGTCGTTTAAACCCCTCCCTGGACATTGAGGTTTCTTGGACAGATACCGGGAGGTGGGACAGGGTTTATGATCATGTGGCTGCCATGATTGGCTGTCACATGACTGGAAAGCTCCCAATCGCACGTGGCAATCAGGATCTTTCCTTTTAGGCACTGGTAACGGTGCCGGGAGCGCACTCTCAGCACAGGTTTAATTTACATTTGGGTATGAAAATATGTGGCCTCTCGGCCTCAAGGGTCACCCGTCACGAGCTGCATATTTGCGTACTCTTGGCAGAAAAGGGGTTAAGGTAACCAGAATAACCAGGATATTAGAGGCTTTCTTATATATTTGTGAGGCAAGGAAATCTGCAGTTTCCCCATCATTCGATCCATCAATGGGCAGGCTGGTTGTACTGAAGTCAATCCATCGATTTACTGCAAACAGCTATAGCTACCAACAGTGATCATTGTGTTTTGCCGACAGGGAAGGCTGCTTGCCACTAGAACACAATAGCGCTGTGGGAGGGACTTCCCTCATCACTGACACTGTTGATGTGAAAATTGAGCAATTTTGTTTCCTGCATCTCATGGTTGTGGGAAAGCAAATTGAATCATCTATGGCTTGCCTAAGAAGCTAAATCATATGGACCGAGTATGAACAGATAGCACAAAGGCTAAGTGATTGGTGCTCTTGGCATGCAATGCCATGTTTCATATTCCCACCAGGGAGACTGTCAACTTGGAATTTGTAATGTCCTCTATCTGTGTTAATTTTTTTACCCCCATCAATTCAGTTTAATCCCAAAATCCAAAACCATTGGTTAATTGGCTTCTGTCAAACATTGGCCTCGTGTGTCTTCATCACCACGGGAGGCATGTTAGAACGTAAGCTACTCTGAGGAGGGACTGATGGGAATGATTCAGTGTAATCTATAAAGAACTGTAGATTTTGTACATATGCGGTGGAAGACTGTTGTAAGTAAATGGGTGGCGTTGATGGAATGGTGTGCATAGGATGGATATATGAAATGGAGGGAACAGATGGTTAGGGAATGCAGTAGGGTTCCCTGATGAAGAGTGTGTTTACGGAACGCTGATTGAGATGGGGGAGGCGTTCCTCTGTCAGCACAACAGAAAATACAGATTAATCATGTCTTTCTTTCAGATTTATGCACAAAACTCCTGAAGATCCTTCTGAGGTTCCCGGTGGATTCTTAAGCGACGTAAATCCTGTACGTATAAAGCCTACAAAAGCGTGTTACGAATTTTATGGGCTTATTGAAAAAAAAAAAAAAAAAAAAGCAGAAATTAAAGCGGAACTAAAAACATTCAAAATGCATGAACAGGTAGGCTTTTTATTTCAGACGACAGATACTGCAATACGGGTTCCTACCTGCCTGTTTTCAATCTTTAGCCTTGGTTTACATGTATGCGGCCGTGTGGGCACGAGAGCCCATTCATTTGAATGGACCCCCGTGCCCCGTGACACGCAGGGAAGAAGTTCCTGCACTTCTTCTGAAAACGCAGCCCGCACGGGAACCTCGGTTCTCAGTACGGTTGCATTTTCCAGTGCGGGCGGCGTGCCATTAGAACTAATATCACCCACCCACGGGTCCGCATTCCTCTGTGCGGGTGGTGCGGCTGCACGGATTTTTGTGCGCATCCACAGCGGCACCACCCGCACAGATGTGAACCTAGCCTTACAGTGTATACAGAGTTGTGCATGTGCAACTCAGAGCACAATTTCAACAATCTCCCCCAATATGTGTTACATTGGTTTACTAAAACTGGAGGGTGCAAAATCTGGTGCAGCTCTGCATAGAAACCAATCAGCTTCCAGGTTTTATTGTCAAAGCTTAATTGAAGAAGCTGACGTTAGTAGCTGATTGGCTCCCATGCACAGCTGCACCAGATTCTGAGTTCTCCAGTTTTAATAAATCTTCCCCATTATGTTTACAATAAATGCCATATTGTATGTCAGAAAAGTTAGACCTTTGTCATACGTATTTCACATCACACAGTAGGTAGATTAAAGCTGAACATGTGCATGCAGCTCTCTGATCCTGAAGGCCTTGCTCAGTCGGAGCATATCAATACGTACACCTGTGCGAGGGCAGTATTTGCCGGCATGGGATGAATTGGTGTCTTGTGCACCCGTGTGTAGGCAGTCCCATTCATATCATTTGAGACTCAATTTGACATCTGTGTGGGTGCGTGTGTTTGAATGCACGCTGTAAGTGAACAATCCAAACGCACACGTTCCTGTGTTAAAATTGGCTGTGTGTGTAAGTGGGTGCTGCAGCGACTGTCTGCTGGAACCGAACAGAATCAGCAAGGGACAATGTCACCAACACATCGAGGATCACCAATATGGGTCCAAAAGTTTTAATGAAGGATCACATAGTTACAGCCTGATGAAGGGGTCCTGCGAGACTCCGAAACGTTGCCTTGCTGTAACTATGATCGTTCATTAAAACTTTTGGACCCACATTGGTGATCCTCGGTGTGCTGGTGACATTTTCCCATGAATGCACACTGTCTGCATTCGGGGACATGCACCCACACCTGCACAGATGTCAGCTTGGAAACAGCGGCTGTGGCCATGCAGCTACTGCACCCACCCCATTTGAGATCAATGGAACTGCCTGCACTTGGATGCTGGGAACATCTATGCAGGCAAAGACAACCCTCGCATGGGTTTACATATTGATGAGCACAAGGCCTAATACAACATTAATTGTTTTTATAAATACAAGAAAAGTCTTTTACTGCCCCCCCATACAGCAAAGCTTAGACTGGGAGAAGAAGCAGCCCAAGGAGCCAATCAGTTGTGCTAATAAGGGATATATTCTAACAAGGTGCATGCTGATAGGAAGAAAGAGCAGACTGGAGGAGAGATGGACTCATCAGTATGCTGTTTCTCTTTTTGCTGTCCAATTACAGACTGGGGCGGGAGGTGACCTGTAAGTGGTACTCAAAGTGGAGTTCCACTCACGCTGTCAAAAAATAAGTCAGCTGCTTCATTGCCCCATACCGGGCCTCTTGGCTCGTCAGCAGCGGTTGGATTCCTATTTGTTTTTATCGGCCACTAGGACAATTGCTCAGGCCTGGAAGAGTCCGTTTGTACTTTTCCAGGGGGTGCGTGATCGTATGACTACTATGATGCTCAACGAACAGATGTCGAGTATATGCAACGACTCTCAACATAAATTTTTGAAAATATGGGAACCGTGGTTGCAATACGCCTTTCCCACGCTCCCCCCGGCCAGTGTGGGGAGGTAATGGAGTTTGATATTGGCGCTTGTGGACCCCTGCTCTTTGGTGTTTTTTTTTTTTTTTTTTTTTTTTTTTTTTTCTCTTTCTCTCCTTTCTTCTCTGCTCTTCTTCTCTCCTTTTCTGTTTGTTTTGATGTGACAGTGGACAGCTGTCTTTAGTTGCGATAGTCAGAGTCTCACTGATATTATTGTAACCTATGTGCCATTGATAGCCCCTGCGTGGGCATACGTTTTGCTTTACTGGAATTAGAGTGTTGTCTACTCTATTTTGCCCTTTTTTATCAGTGCAATTGATAGCCCCTGCGTGGGCGTGTTTTGTTGCCTCTGTTTTATACTGTTTAAAATTAATAAAAACCATTGAAATATTTTTTTTTTTTTTTTTTTTTTTTTTTATCAAGTCAGCAGCTACAAAAACTGTAGCTGCTGACTTTTAAAAAAAAAAAACAGCCACTTACCTGTCCCTTGGTCCCGTGGTGTGTCCCCCGCAGCCCGATTCACCGGCCGTCCTGTATTCCTGGAAGCCGGCATCTTCAGTGTGGGCACCCGGCTGTGACATCTTGCGACTTCACAGCCGGGTACCCACTGCGCATGCGTGACTAGCGCTGCGCTTCATGAATGGTCCTGTAGTCTTCTGGGACCTGTCACGTGTCCCAAAAGACTACAGGGAGGGAGGGCGATCGGACCGGAAGTGGGAGCGGGTACCTGTCAAATTCGCGTACCCTCCCCCCAAAGGTGCCAATCCTTAATGGGGAGCGGGGAAGCAGTCCTTAAAGCGGAACTTCCCCTTTTGGGTTGTGCTCCGCTCCGCTGCAGAGAAAACAATATGGTCTCCTGCCCTGCAAGGCAGGACTGTGCTATAGGGACTACTTTCAGCGGAAAATGCATTTCTCTCTTTTTTTTCTTCTTATAATACAGCACTCTGTACCTAAGCAGGCATCCTGTAAGGGCCAAGGAAGGAGTTCTTAGCTCTGTGTAAGCAATGACCTGAAACAGAAATTGTGGTGGGGGGGGGGTCTCTAGTATCTCTCCACAGATAAAATTATATAGTAGCATCTACTCATCCACATAACTATTTATTTTTGGTGCATGAAATACTTTTTTGTTTTTACAGAACTCTTTGACCATTAACTCAGACGCCCTGGTGGATCAGTCTGTAAAGAACTGCAAAATGTTAGAGAACTTCCAGTTTGAAAGGCTGGGCTATTTTTCTGTGGATCCAGACACCACTCCAGAGAAGGTCAGTGAGCTCTGTGCATCGTTCAGCACACACAGGGCAAGGTGACGTCAAACCGCAACAGTTCCTGGTCTTTGTTTTACTCTGAATTCTCTTTGCTGCTCTGACTGCGGACACAATGCAGATATTGGATCATAAGACGGCATCACTAAAACTCCCTGGCAAGATTGTGATTGTTGCCAGGACAAGAAGCGATGCAATATAGAGCAGGGAGAAGTGTGACGCAGAGGGATAGACTGTCTCACTGCAATATATATCCTCACAAAGATATCTAGAAATATATATATTATGGGTACCATGACTAAGAGGTATGAAAGGTGTATCTGAATACATCTAGTCCATCAGGTAACCTGTCTGCAATTGTTTCTTTCACTAGGAAGGAAGCTGATCCTTTTTATGGTTTATTGAAGATGACCAGCAATGAAAACTATCTTGCAATCCATTTAAAGTGATTGTAAACCCATAACTTTTAAAAAAGGCAGCCCTGATCCTCTTCTCGGGTCCCCTGCTGGCTCTCCCATCTCCTACCCCACCAGGTGCCCACTGTAGCAAGCCACTTGCTATGGGGGCACTCATGCAGGCTCATTCCCTAGGTACCTCTACGTGTCAATAGACACAGAGCGTAGCTCAAACATCCCCCACGCTCGCCCGCTCACATGCACGCACACCCACATGCTCGCACGCACGCTCCTTCACATACACACACTCACGCACGCTCGCTCCTTCACATACACACACACTCACGCACGCACGCTCCTTCACATACACACACTCACGCACGCACGCTCCTTCACATACACACGCTCACGCACGCTCCTTCACATACACACGCTCACGCACGCACGCTCCTTCACATACACACGCTCACGCACGCTCCTTCACATACACACGCACGCACGCTCCTTCACATACACACGCACGCACGCTCCTTCACATACACACGCACGCACGCTCCTTCACATACACACGCACGCACGCTCCTTCACATACACACGCACGCACGCTCCTTCACATACACACGCACGCACGCTCCTTCACATACACACGCACGCACGCTCCTTCACATACGCACGCTCCTTCACATACACACGCTCACGCACGCACGCTCCTTCACATACACACGCTCACGCACGCACGCTCCTTCACATACACACGCTCACGCACGCACGCTCCTTCACATACACACGCTCACGCACGCACGCTCCTTCACATACACACGCTCACGCACGCACGCTCCTTCACATACACACGCTCACGCACGCACGCTCCTTCACATACACACGCTCACGCACGCACGCTCCTTCACATACACACGCTCACGCACGCACGCTCCTTCACATACACACGCTCACGCACGCACGCTCCTTCACATACACACGCTCACGCACGCACGCTCCTTCACATACACACGCTCACGCACGCACGCTCCTTCACATACACACGCTACGCTCACGCACGCACGCTCCTTCACATACACACGCTCACGCACGCACGCTCCTTCACATACACACGCTCACGCACGCACGCTCCTTCACATACACACGCTCACGCACGCACGCTCCTTCACATACACACGCTCACGCACGCACGCTCCTTCACATACACACGCTCACGCACGCACGCTCCTTCACATACACACGCTCACGCACGCACGCTCCTTCACATACACACGCTCACGCACGCACGCTCCTTCACATACACACGCTCACGCACG